TATATATAAATTTGCCCTAGATGTTTTGTTTGTGTGTTACTTATGCAGGTTCTTCATGACGGGTTACCTTCCACTTGGTTTTGAGTTTGCTGTCGAATTGACTTATCCAGAGTCTGAGGGGACGTCTTCAGGACTTCTAAACTGCTCTGCGCAGGTTTGCGTGTGATATTTCATAATAATTTTGTTGTTTATAAGAGTTGTGTCTTATTTTGTATTGAGATTTATATGAGTTTATATGGAGTTACCAGCAATCCTAATGATTGTGATTTCTTACTGCAGGTATTCGGGATCATATTTACAATCTGTCAGGGGAAAATCATGGATTCGTTTAATACTCTGGCTGGAAATCTCTTCCTGTGTGCCTTCCTTCTGATAGGAACCATCATTACAGGTGCAGATTGTTCAATTCTCATCTACCTGAGTATTTGTTCCTCTTTAATCGAGTATAGAGCTTATATTTGAGGGATTGTGAAACTGTTTATTATTTTTTACTCCGGTCCTATAAACTAGAGTTAATTTTGAATGTTTTGCTTCCTTCCTGGTGATGATAATGCTCCTTGGAAAGCATTGTATATTAAAATTCATGTGACATTATGAAAGCTGCAGTGTGCTCTAATGTTTCAGTTAATGTATGAGCTATTAAACACGGAAAAAAAAGTCAGCTGGGTTATGTAAATGTAGAAAAAGCAACATTGTTGTGGGACGGTTACAGCCAGAATCCTTCAGGGTACAAACACAGAGTGTGTGATGTCTGTATTGCTTCAAATTAGTTTGTGAGTTGTACATCTTGGCACATATTTTAAATGTTATAAACTTGTATAATGTGTTAATTACAATTATAATGTTGGCTGCGGTTATTTAAATGGTTATAATTACTGGTTAATATTCAACTAATTTTCCAGGCAATTAAAGTTCATGGGAAGTAATTATATAGTCCTTCATATAACATTTATGCATAGAGGTACAAAGTTTAATTACTTTTAAACTTTGTTTCTCTGTTAACAAAGACTTGCATCTCAAAGGTCCAATCAGAATGATCTTCCACATTATTATTATTAGTTTTTATTTTGTATTATCTTTATAATAATAATTATCATTATTATTATTGTTTTGCCTAAAGAACATCAAATCCATTTTAGGGTGAATATTTATTGCATTATTTAAATATTATAATATTTATTGCATTTTTAATTTTTATGCATTTTATTTAATAAAAATAATTTCACAATGCATAAAAATAGACCTTATATAATAAATACAAAAAATATTTCTTATTTATTTCTTTTGATTTTCGGGATGAAATGTGACCTGGACATGTTCTTTGAGGGATTCATCTATTTTATATTCACAATTCAGATACTGATTAGATAGACTAGAGCTTACAGGTTGCATCAGTCATTTTAGTAGATAGTACGCTGAATGTTAAAGCTGTAATTATGTGCGTCTCATTGCGTTTCTGTTCTTTATCTCAGCTTGTATCAAGTCAGATCTGCGCAGACAGTTGGCAAACCAGCAAGCACTGACAGCTGTAAGTATCAAACCAAACTTGTCAGCAAAACATGTACGCTTTACAATTACACTTTATACATTATATGCGATATATTGTGATAGAAATCAGATTAAGGTTTTCATGACCTTCCCATTCAGGAATAAGTTCATGTTTTGTGTTTTCTGCTAGTGTGTCTCTTGTTTGTCAGATTGATGCAGCAGAAATCTTTTTATGCCCACTAACATATGCTGCAGATACTAGAGAAAATTACACTCCTGTTGTTTCTGTCTCACGTTTCTGTGTTGTTTTGTTTTAACCTGAACTCCAGTGTTCATTCAAAGGTGGTTTTGGTTTGATAGCTGTTGTTTCAGACATCCACAGCAGGAACATGACTGTGTTCCTGCGTATTCTCCTGGGTCTTTGGCCTCTAGCAGCTCCTGTGGCGCTTTTGAGCTTTTTATTGTGTTGACAATCCAGCGCTGTGATTTGATGACACACGGGAAATGCTCTGAGATTCACACCAGCTCTATAAACACATTTCATCCTGTTCTTCACCATCAGTCCTGTTCACCTTTACACCACGCGATGTCATGTTTTCTTGTTCCACACATCCCATTCACACTCTCTTTCTAATTTCCCATTATCCTGCTGTTTTTCCACTTCATTGCCTCTTTCCTCTCATAAACACTACACTATCATTCAAAAGTTTGGAGTTGGTACTATTTTATAAATGGTTTTGAAAGAAGTCTCTTATGCACACCAAGGCTGCATTTATTTAATCAAAAAAAAAAAAGACTGTTTTCTATGTGAAAATGTCATTTGTTCCGGTGATGCGAATCTGAATTTTCAGCATCATTGCTCCAGTCTTCAGTGTCACATGATCCTTGAGAAATCATTCTAAGATGCTGATTGATTGGTGCTCAAGAAACATTTATTATCATTATCAATGTGGAAAATAGTTGTGCTGCTTATATGTTTGTGGAAACCATGATGCATTCTTTGTTAGGATTCTTTGATGAATATAAAGTTCAAAAGAACAGCATTTATTTAAAATATTAATCTTTTGTAACAATGTAAAATGTCACTTTTGATTAATTTAATGTGTCCTTGCTGAATGAAAGCACTGATTTCTTTAAAAAAAACAGGTAAAAATTTAAAAAAATATATAAAGCAGCACAATCATACTCGGATCTAAATGTTGGATCCTGATGAAAGATTTAACCTGTCCCATGTCTCTGTTATGTCTTGTCTCCACAGACAAACAACACTAGCCGTGTATCTGATGTCGCTTGTGGGTTTGGTGCTTTATGCTTTTACCTTGGATCTGGGTCATTTGTGGGTGGTCTTCATCACAGCAGGAACCCTCGGGTACAAGAAGAGTTCAAATGGAAAACTTCTTAATTTTTTTCTTTCTTGTTGTTGTTATAGTTTGTTTCGGTTTTGTTTTCTAATATATGTGTTACAGTAAAACCCCTCTCTCTCTCTCTCTCGCTCTCTCTCTGTGTGTGCTGTTGTCTGTGCAATTTTACTGCCAATACCATCATGCTGTTCTTATGCGAGCATCTATGCGGGTTGAAATGGAACCTTTCCACTGTTTGGGCTTTTCATGGTTACAATTATAATGTTGGCTGCGGTTATTTAAATGGTTATAATTACTGGTTAATATTCAACTAATTTTCCAGGCAATTAAAGTTCATGGGAAGTAATTATATAGTCCTTCATATAACATTTATGCATAGAGGTACAAAGTTTAATTACTTTTAAACTTTGTTTCTCTGTTAACAAAGACTTGCATCTCAAAGGTCCAATCAGAATGATCTTCCACATTATTATTATTAGTTTTTATTTTGTATTATCTTTATAATAATAATTATCATTATTATTATTGTTTTGCCTAAAGAACATCAAATCCATTTTAGGGTGAATATTTATTGCATTATTTAAATATTATAATATTTATTGCATTTTTAATTTTTATGCATTTTATTTAATAAAAATAATTTCACAATGCATAAAAATAGACCTTATATAATAAATACAAAAAATATTTCTTATTTATTTCTTTTGATTTTCGGGATGAAATGTGACCTGGACATGTTCTTTGAGGGATTCATCTATTTTATATTCACAATTCAGATACTGATTAGATAGACTAGAGCTTACAGGTTGCATCAGTCATTTTAGTAGATAGTACGCTGAATGTTAAAGCTGTAATTATGTGCGTCTCATTGCGTTTCTGTTCTTTATCTCAGCTTGTATCAAGTCAGATCTGCGCAGACAGTTGGCAAACCAGCAAGCACTGACAGCTGTAAGTATCAAACCAAACTTGTCAGCAAAACATGTACGCTTTACAATTACACTTTATACATTATATGCGATATATTGTGATAGAAATCAGATTAAGGTTTTCATGACCTTCCCATTCAGGAATAAGTTCATGTTTTGTGTTTTCTGCTAGTGTGTCTCTTGTTTGTCAGATTGATGCAGCAGAAATCTTTTTATGCCCACTAACATATGCTGCAGATACTAGAGAAAATTACACTCCTGTTGTTTCTGTCTCACGTTTCTGTGTTGTTTTGTTTTAACCTGAACTCCAGTGTTCATTCAAAGGTGGTTTTGGTTTGATAGCTGTTGTTTCAGACATCCACAGCAGGAACATGACTGTGTTCCTGCGTATTCTCCTGGGTCTTTGGCCTCTAGCAGCTCCTGTGGCGCTTTTGAGCTTTTTATTGTGTTGACAATCCAGCGCTGTGATTTGATGACACACGGGAAATGCTCTGAGATTCACACCAGCTCTATAAACACATTTCATCCTGTTCTTCACCATCAGTCCTGTTCACCTTTACACCACGCGATGTCATGTTTTCTTGTTCCACACATCCCATTCACACTCTCTTTCTAATTTCCCATTATCCTGCTGTTTTTCCACTTCATTGCCTCTTTCCTCTCATAAACACTACACTATCATTCAAAAGTTTGGAGTTGGTACTATTTTATAAATGGTTTTGAAAGAAGTCTCTTATGCACACCAAGGCTGCATTTATTTAATCAAAAAAAAAAAAGACTGTTTTCTATGTGAAAATGTCATTTGTTCCGGTGATGCGAATCTGAATTTTCAGCATCATTGCTCCAGTCTTCAGTGTCACATGATCCTTGAGAAATCATTCTAATTTGATGCTTAAAAAAAAAAAAAATAATTTTTGAGTATTATACATTTTTGAAAACTGTTGTGCTGCTTCATATTTTTGTGGAAACCATGACATATTTTTTTTAGTGTTTCTGAGAAATAGAAAGTAGAAAAATGAATATTTTTCTACAAAAACAGAATTTTTGAAAAATAAATATTTTTTTAACATTCTAAATGTATTTACTGTCACTTTTGATAAATTTAATGCATTCTTGCTGAATAAAAGTATTAATTTCTGTAAAAACCAAAAAAATCATACTCTTCCCATTGCTCTTTTTCTACTTATCCTGTTCTCCCTTTTCCATATTTTCCACTCATCATCATGAATGGGATGTTTTTAACTCAACCTTTTATTCCACTGATCATCTCATTCTCTGTTCTAGTTTCCTATCTGTCCAAATCCATTCATGTTTACAGATCTGTGTGCGTGTGTGTGTGTGTGTGTGTGTGTGTGTGTGTGTGTGTACAGGCAGCATTGGGCAGGTCAGACCTTCAGGATCACAGTGGGACGTCTCTCCACCCCTCCACACACATGTGATCAATCAAGCACTGCTTGATTTTATTGCTCACTGTGGTTCAGGTATGGGTGGCACACCCGATCAGCCCTTCTGATTCACACTCAATGAGACCCATTTTAATTATCGCTTATAAAGTGATTCAGATGTTCTTTTGATTCTCTTTCAGAGTCCAATGTTCATGATTTTTTTGCCTGCTCTATCTGAACGCTTCACCCTTGAGCTTTGTACGTGTGTGCGAGGTCATTGTAGTTTGGTTGTTCGATGTGTACTAACATTTATCCTTCATTTAATCCACTAACATACCAACTGCGGATGTGTGCATGAAACTGGTTAGTGGCCACCAGGTGGCGCCGTTTTACTGTGATATCTGTTAATAGTGATGTGTTTTGTGTTTGCAGATCCATGTGGAAGCATCACTGGCACAAGCTTTTGAAGCCAAACTCTAATGTGATCGCAGGACGGATCGTGTGGCATGTTTATCTTTTATAGTTTTCATCTGGTCTTGAATTTTGATTTATTTTTCCTTTGCCTTGGGACTTTTGAGTAATGCTGTATTGTGTGTGTGTGTGTGTGTGTGTGTGTGTGTGTGATCATTTGTGTTTATTTGATCACTAATAATCTCAAGTAGGATATATTCTAATTTTTTAACTAGTTTATCAATTGATGATTTAAATTATTAATGTTAACATTTAAAATGCCTTATTTCTCTAAACAATTTTTCATTGAAAGTTTGAAAAAAATCTTATGATGAAACCCATAAGAATGTGGAGCATTTCAGTATTGCATGAATTTAAGAATAGAAACCAAAGCTAAACACATTTAAATATACTGTGTTGGTGTCAATCTATGCAGTAATAAGCACTGAATAACTTTCTTTATTTTTATACAGTTTTCTTTTTGACCCTAATTAAAGTTCTAAAAAGACCACCTGAATAAATTGTAATAAATAAAACAAATCTAACCTATAAAGCACATTACTGTTATATTTTATTTTTTTAATAAAAAAAAAAATGTTTTGTAAAATGTTTTAGTATTATTACTATCTGCCTATTGTACCTGACACTGAATAATACAATGCCATGCTTTTCAGTAACACCCATATTCTTCTTCTTATTATTATTATTACAATTAATAGTAATCATAAATTGTATTATTATAAGATAAATTATATTTATATAGTTCTATATTTTCGTGAAATTATATATACAATTATAATCAAATTTATTACAATGCAAATATAATGAATAATATAATTATTATAGAATTATACATTATATTAAATTATATTTAATAAAATATTAATCTATATTATCGATATATAATTATTATTATTACCATAAATAGTAATCATAGTTAATTATTGTAAAATTATAGTTAATTTTAGTTAATTATTCTAAATTTTATATATATATAAAATGTACAATAATTAACTATGATTACTATTTATGGTAATCATAATTAAGAGCAATCCCATTCATAGTAATCATAAATTTTATTATTTTAAAATCTTATATGTTAATAATATATACAGTAGGCTATATACAGTGGGTACGGAAAGTATTCGGACCCCCTTAAATTTTTTCTCAAATTGAAAAATAATCACAAACAGACCTCAAATGAGTATCCATAAATATTTTAATGCGGTGAACATTGCAGAAAAAGTGTCAGCATTTAAATGACAGCATTTATGATATACGTAAAAAAAGACATCTTATTTCACAATTTTATAACAGCATTTCATATATTTATCAAACTATAATAATTTTAAGTAGGAAAAATTGAAAAAGAACCAGCAGTAACGTCCCATACACATTCCAAACAAAGTAAAAACAGCTTGACATTTTAACTCCTCTGACAACTTTCTGAGACAAGTGCATTTGAAAGGGCATTTCAGATGAAGAGGCAGCAGCAGCAGCCTGTTCCTGCAAATCATCACTTCAGATTCTCTTTGAGAGTCTGCCTGAGCTCCCTGTTGTTTAGGTGGAGGTATTTATTCACCCAGCTGCTATACTTGTTTGTTTATGATCTATAATCCACATGTTTGGGTGCTGTGACTGAAGCCCAGCGTGATGATGATGATGATATCAAACCTTCATCGTTTGGCCTGCTGTTCTAAGGCACCTTCAGCTGTTTGATTGTCTGCAAGTGACATTGTTCCCAATACACAAGCATTTGAGGCACACCTGTCAGAACACATCACAGCACTGGAACATCACCTCCGTGGAAAGTCTTGTGGAAAATGGTCTGAAATCGGAATAATTGCAAAGGAATGGTGTGGATTTTGTGGACTCTGACTGTCTGTATTATATTCACACCGTCTTCATGGTCTCTATCACTATACTGACGACATTATTTTATAAACTATCGATAATGCACAAGCAAACCATGTAAAATTGTAAACCGCAAAAGTACAGGCACCTCAGTAAATTGTACCACAAAAAAAGCATGGAACGATATTTATTTTCGATAAATTAAATTATTAATCTCATATTTATATTAATATCACTTTACAGTATATTTATTTAAAAATATTTTTTTTTTACAAACTCTTAAATATTCAAATCAGATCGTTAGCCAGTCACGTGATGGGCCTCATTGGCCGCTCCTGTAGAAATCGACATCTGAGTTCATTGTTGTCCTCATTCTTAAAGGGACAGTTCACGATAAAAAAAAAATTCTGTCATCGTTTACAAACCTGGACAGAAGCCATTTAGAATGTAGCACGAGTCTGTGATGGATGGACAGTTTTTTAAGATGGCATGTAAGTTTGCTATAAAAAGTCCTAAATCAATGTAATTTTCAAAACGTACAGTTTTTGTCTTTGTTTCGTGACTACGTTCTATCCCTCACCGCTTCGTTTTCATTCCCGCCAAAATTAAACATGGCGCTACCCTGACGAAAACCAAAAACTTTTTTGCATGGAAGAAAGAAAATAATACAAGACTGTTCGCAATGACATGAGGGTGAGTAAAAGTTACATACGGTAATATTCATTTCTGGCGAACTCCCCCTTTAATTAAACAATTTAAGCTATCCAGAGTACACTTTCCCTCTCAAGACAATTACAGTAATAAAAACCTCTTTATAATAACTTGATTGACGTATACATACCAACACAACTCTTACTCAGTGGCAGCTCGTCAGTCGTCAATTTTGAGGTGAAAATGGGAGGAGGACGATTTAATGTTAATAAAATTCACAATTCATTTCAGTTCATTTCTCAGAATGTGTATTTTTTGTTTGTAATTTCACAGTTGTAATATCATAACGTGAAAGCGCCGCTTTTCTATCGCGAATGTGCCGAATCTGCTGATGTAATTACAACCGCTAGGTGA